GCATCCCGCTAAGGTTCCCTGGTTCACCTCTGCCACCTCCGCGCACACACCTAGAATGTTGATGATCCGCTTGCCGCGGTACAGGGACAGCTTCAAACGCAACCGAATCAAGTTATAACGATGCTTGACGACAGCGCGGGCGAGAAGGTGGTGGTTCACTTTCTCGTAGGCCTTCGTTAAATCTACGAGGCACGCTGACGAGCATCCTCCCGCACTGAAATGCTGTTCGACCACTAAGCTTTCCTCCCAGACCGCTCTCTCGCATTTCTTACCCGAGATTCCGTACCTGTAGGACCTGTTCGCGGAGGCCTCCCAAGCAGGGGTTGGGAGCAAGCCTATCGGTCAAAAACCCCCCTCTGGCTTGCTTAGCATCGCGAGGACCGTGGTCTGCATCCAGGCAGGGTAGGTCCCAAGACACTCCATCCAGCACCAGAGGTTCCCCAAGACCTCGAGGATCCAGTCGGTGACTTTGTCGAGGTCCGGGGGCCTGAGCATGTCTATGCCGCACGCGGTATATCTTTTGAACTTCCTGGCTGCCAATCTGATTTGCTCGGGGGACTTCGGGGTGGCCCACGGGGTCCTCAAGCCTGCAATCCTGCTCCTGCGCCTGCTTATCTATCTCGCTAGGTGTACTCAATCGGGTCGGGAAAGCCCCGAGCCGCCTCAGGAGGGGTCCCATGGCCAGTCCAATAGCTGCACAAGTCGTCAACCTGCTCCTGCGGGCCCATAGGAACTCTGGGGGCATCCCACTTCTTACTACCAGCGAGCACCCCAGGCACCCAGCCCAGCGGACCCTGGCTGTACTCGCGGGCCTGGCCCCCTCCGTTGGCCACCGCCTGCTCGACCCACTCACGCCACTGCTTGGAGCGCTCGGAGCCGAACGTTCTCTCGAACGCTTGCGCCGAACGTTCCTCCTCCTCCTCCTCCTCCTCCGCCTCCTCCTCCTCCGCCTCCTCCGCCGCCTCCTCCTCCTCCTCCTCCTCCTCCTCCTCCTCCTCCTCCGCTCCCTCCTCCATCCTCCTCCGCCTCTGCTGACGACCCGATGGTGCCCGGCGAGGGGCCCCCGGAGGCGGAGGACGGCCAGGCAGCTCCCGTCGTGATGTGGTGGGCGAGCGCGCGGCGGAGCATACAGTGCCGTGTTTAATGCATGCTCCGCGCGCGGATCATGTGTCAAAACATCCTGGGCTTTAGAACTGAAAACAGCGATGAGTTCATGCATACATTTATTCATACATTAATCATTGATTAGAAATCATTTTTCTCAAAACAAAATCATATGTATTAGAAATTGCCCTCTACCTCAAGGGAGGAAGCAACCACCCGGAGCGGACAGTTCGCGTTTCCTAAGCGGCCCTGGGCGTTTACTGAACAGCCCTGCCATGTGTGATTCCTTCTCTGGGCGCGTTTGCTCGACGACTTGGCGTGTCGGGGTGGTTGTGATGGGGGTGGATTCTTGGACTTCTGATGCTGCGCGACGAAACCTCTGCATGTCCGAAAGCATCTCCGTGAAACTGTCGTGACGACATGTCGGGCGACGAGTCTTCGCGAAACGGGCCTCTGCATATCTATTGCTCCTTGGCCAGCCGCATCCTGAAGCCATGAGCTGCGTATGCGAGCCCTCCTGGCCGAGCCACGAGGGCGGGGCGTGCGACACACCGCTGTTAGGCTCAGGATGGAGCTGGCCAGGGAACGGGGACTGTGTAGAGATGTCGTCACCATAACATGTCTTCGGGCAGCAAAGTATGGGAGCCTGGCCTACCCCTTTCATTCCATCTCTAGCGTCAATCAGCGTCTGGGAGCCGAGGAGATAGCGCCGAGCTAGCGTCGGTCAGCGTCGATTTTGCGTCGCATTAGCGTCGATTTGGCGTCGACTAGCGTCGATGAGCGTCGACTCGCAAGAGCCGACGACATGGTACGGGAGGCTCCCATAACACCAGAGAAAAAACCCAATCAGTGGAACGACGAGGTGCGTTCCCGGAACCCGGGAACCGTGGAAACTTGGAACCGGGAACCCGGGAACCCAGCGGGCCACCAAAATCGGCGGGTCGTTTTCGCCAAATCTTTTCAAGTTCCGCTAGGACCCCCTTCAGTGCAAGCACTGCTTGGGGAGCAATGGGGGGGGAGGAGAGCCAGCTTCGAGGCTTGCGATCTTCGGGCGTCTTCGTCGGCTCCTCCAGGCTTTCGAGCCTCGGGGTGCGTTGCCGCCGACGTGTCTGGGGAGCCCCCCGGCCTCCTCGGAGCGCCCCCCCCCCCCCCCCTCTGGTCTTGTTTTCCACCACCATCACCATAAGCTGGATGGGGGTGAGGAGGAGGAGGAGGAGGACGAGGAGGAGGAGGACGACGAGGAGGAGGAGGAGGATGAAGAGGACAGGAGGCGGAGGAGGACGAAGAGGAGGCGAGGGCCCCCAGCCCCCCAGGTTTCTGGACGGAGGAGGAGGAGGAGGAGGAGGAGGAGGAGGAGGAGGAGGAGGAGGAGGAGGAGGATCCCCTCTCCCTCCAACTTATGGTGGTGGTGGTGGTGGTGGACAGCAGGCCCATCACCCTCGGAGCGCCCAGCGGCCCAGGCCTTCGGAGGGCGCCGCCCGAGAGGCGCGCCGTGCACGGCCGGACTCTCCGCCGCCGCGCGGCTGCGCGTCGGCCCGGAGGGCCGGCCTTCCGCGCGCGCGCTCCTGTCGGAGGGAGGAGAAGCGGTACGAACCCCACCAGGGGGCCCACCTCCAGCGAGGAGGTCCACGATGCCTCTCCCAGCTGGAGGCCGGGGATGTCTCAAACGAGGGGGGGGGGCCACACCACCAGGGAGTTCCCCCTTGCCTCCTCGCACCTCCTCGCCACGGGTGGTGTTGGTGTCGCTTTTCCTTGTTCCTGTCCTGGCAGCTTCTCGGGGTCTCGGCGTGCAGATCCCCAGGCCCCTGGGGGTTTCTCCGAAGGGCCTGGGCGACCCGTCCTCCTCCTCCTCCGCCTCCTCCTCTTCCGCCTCCTCCTGCTCCTCCATCTCCTCCTCCTCCTCCTCCTCCTCCTCCTCCTCCTTCTCCTCCCCCTCCTCCATGTCCTCCTCCCCTTCCTCCTCCTCCTCCTCCTCCTCCTCCTCCTCCTCCTCCTCTTCCTCCTCGTCGTTCTCCGAGGACGGCGGGGATTCGGGGGATCCGGGGTCACCGCATGGTTTCGGGACTCGGGTCGTTCTCCGAGGACGGCTAGGGCGACAGGGGCCTCCAGGGTCCCAGGACCGTGCGGTGACAAACCGTGCGGTGAGGTCTTGGGGGATCTCGAGGTCACCGCACGGTCTGTCACCGCACCGCTTCGGGACTCCAAATTTCCTCAGTGTCGTTGAACCGATCCTTATCCCCATCTCGTGGGCGGCAAAGAGGTGGGTGATGTCTAGGGGGGGGGACATCATGGCGTGGGCCATGATCTAGTTCATCTGATTTTGTGGCGCCTCTTCTTATTTCAATACGTCCCCGGCCCCCCTCTGGGCCGCGCATATGCCGCCGGCCATGATTTGCGCCCCCCCCCTCTTGGACGCCCCCCTCTTGGCCGCCCCCCAACCATCTCCATCCCCATCCCGATCCCCACCATCCCACCACCCCAGTTGGGGACATGCCCCTCGAATCCCGAAGAGAGCAGCCTGTGTCCCCATTCAGGGGGGTAGATCGGCCAGTGGGGCCCAGCCCACGCTGGTGGGGATAGGGATCGGTTAAACGATGCTCATGTTCGGAGGCCACGCCCCCAAGGTAGCGGGGGAGAGACGCCAGGGTCTCCACAATCCTCCTCCTCCTCCACAATTACTCAATATGAATATACTCTCCCTCTTCCCCTGATGGCGTCGGGGTGATGGCCGCGCACCCTCCGCGTACGGTTTTTTTACACACAGGATGCCCGGGAAATCCCGGGAAACGACTATCGCTGAGGCGCCGGCGTCATTTTTTCCCAAAATGCTGCTCTCGTTGAGGCGCCGGCCTCATTTCTGCTCCCGAATCGTTCCGAATCGTGCTCCCGCTGCAGCGTGGGCCTCATTTTCGGATCGGTGTTTGGCCTCCGTCGTTCAGGATGGCGTTCTCGCCCCAGCGCGGGCCTTTTCTCGCGCGCCCATCCGCCCGCCACCACCGCGCCGCACCGCCACCACCACCACCACCACCACCACCAACCACCACCACCAGCACCAGCACCAGTACCAACACCACCCACCAGCACCACCACCACCACCACCAGCACCACCACCACCACCATCACCACCACCACCACCACCACACCACCACCACCCACCACCACCACCACCACCACCACCACCACGACACCACGCACACACGCACGCACGCACGCACGTGCACCACCACCCACTACGCACGCGCGCGCGGAGCCACAGGTCCGCTACGACACGCGTCCGCGGATAGAGAAAATCAGCGCCATGGTAAGGGATGGGAGGGAGGGGTAGGACGTCAGATATGACGCGAGCGCACCTAGCTTGTCTTCCTCCCCCTCCCCCCCCTCCTCCTCCTCCTCCTCCTCCTCCTCCTCCTCCTCCTCCTCCTCCTCCTCCTCCTCCTCCTCCTCCTCCTCCTCCTCCTCCTCCTCCTCTCCTCCTCCTCTCCTCCTCCCTCCTCCTCCTCCTCCTCCTCCTCCTCCTCCTCCTCCTCCTCCTCCTCCTCCTCCTCCTCCTCCTCCTCCTCCTGTCCGTCCAGGCCAAGGGGGCTGGGGGCCCGTTCCGATGGATCGAGCGCGCTGTGGGGCCCCAGGGCATGGCAGCAAGGCTGGCGAGTGCTGCCAGGATGTCAAGCAGTGGCGGAGCGTCCCGGCTCGCCTATAGCCCCACCAAACAATGTTCTAAGAACCTTTTGTGGTATGCACGAAATGTCATTATAACATTTCTGGTTGGGGCTGTCTTGTTTTAACACATCGGGTCGATGTTCTACGTACATTGTGTTTGTTATCAGAACACTTTTGGGTTCTAAAAACATTTCGTGGTAGGACTATAGGAATGCCGGGACGGTCGGTCCCTGCTCAAGGATGACCACGTGTGCGAGCGTCCGGAAGCTTGGCCCTCCAATTGTGTTTCAATGCGGGCTTGCGTGGCTGGCGCGGCGGTAGGCATTCAGGCAGGCCTTGTGACCGCAGCGGTCCACAAAAAGGTGTTGTCGGAGGGCACCAACTATACACCAACACCGATCCTGGCCCAGGATCACCCTGGGCCCAGGATCGGTGTATATGCCTTCTTGCGCAAGGCAGGAGGGCGTATACACCGATCCTGGGCCCAGGGTGATCCTGGTCAGGATCGGTGTTGGTGTACAGTTGGTGCCTTCCTATGTTGCAATATCGGCGACTCGATGACGGCGAATGGGCTCCTCTGGCTCACTCCCTGGGTGTTGCTTGCCCGTTCCAGAGGCTGGAGTCGAATGGCTATGTCTGCCTGGGAGTTATTGTTTGGGCTCTGGGCCACGCTCAGGTTCTTCCGAACACAGCAATTAGTTGAAATGGCATAGATGGGCCCCTAAATCTCGGCGGTGAGTGTTTCCGTACGTAGATGGCAGTCGTCCGTGCATCGTGTGGTTAGTGGGTCGTTGAAGCACGGCGGGCAGGGGACTGAGCGGAGGGAAAGCCCAAAAGGCTCGATGAGGAAGGCTAGGACGGATAGGAAGGGGTCCCGTGAAAGGCCCGCAGGACAAGCAGGCGAGTTGGTGTCAAAGTTGAGCGGACATAAGAGGGTGGTCGCGACTTGGCTGCGCCCCGTGATGGCTTCCTCCCTACTGGCCATAGTATGCGCTCCATCTGCCGCGTCGTCTCGAAATCGTCGACCCTCGCTCTTGATCCCGTCGACGTCGTGCGATATAGCGATCAGACAGAAGCGGATCTAGCACGCCACCTCCCGACGTGACCACCCGCCGCCGCCGCCCGCTTTCAGCGTGAATGGCTTAACGACTGCTGTATCCTGACTCGCGCTGGAGTTTCCTCGAGAGGCCGCCGCGGCCGTCGTCTTCCAGGCTCGCGCCCGCCAGGATTGGGCCCGAGGTCGTTTTCACGAAACCACATTTTGCTAAAGGGGGTTCCGTCCATCCCCGATCAGTGCGCGATTTCGGCGTGGGACGTCGTGCAGCCGGTTTCCTGGACAGACTCTACCAGCCTCGAACGTATCCCCTGTCCCTAAGTTTGACACGCCAAAGGGCGATGACGATATCTTAGGGATGCGGCCTCAAAAATAAGGGCATCCCTAAGATTGGCATCGTGATGGGGCGATGCCTAGGGATAGGGATGTATCCCAGGGAATCCCTTCAAAAAATAAAGGAATCCCTAGGGAATCCCTTCAAAAAATAAGGGAATCCCTAGGGAATCCCTAGGGAATCCCTTCAAAATAAGGGAATCCCTTCAAAAAATAAGGGAATCTCTAGGGAATCCCTAGGGAATCCCTTCAAAATAAGAGAACCCCCTTAAAAAATAAGGGAATCCCTAGGGACAGGGATGTGTCCCAGGCTGGATAAGACTTGGCGCAGCGGTGCTCGTCGCCCGGCCCCCTTCGGCCTCCACCCGCACCCCTGGGGACGGCTGCCAGCACCTGCGCTGCCCCTGGGGGGGCCACAGGCGAACCCTGCCCTTACGTCGGGCCCGTCCCTCTGCAGGAGGACTATCCAAGAGTAGTCCGGGGATTCTTTCCGGAGCATTTTTTGGCCATTTTGGAATATGCTTTTTGGGTGTTTGTCTGTTTCGTCGGAGATCCTCCTGTAGGGGGACACGCCCGACTTGACCCTACCCCTACCCCTCGCGATTTCTGAGGGGGAGGGTGGGGTTCACTTCGCTCGGGGGCTCTCGAGCGAAGTGGACCCCACCCTCCGCCTCGGAAGGCGTGGGAAGTATGGGGTAGGGTTCGCATGTGGACCCCTTGACATTTGCTCGTACCTCTGCCGGACCTTCAGCTCGTGAGCCCCCGCGCCACCTTTTTGCCTTCCGCTTCCTCCTGCCCATCTTTTTCAGGAGGGGACAAAAACACACAGACACAATGAATCGTCGATCCCCCCCAGAAAATATTGGAACATGTGGGAAATGGGGGGGATGGCAGAAGACCAGAAAATGTAGGAAAATATGGGGCATCCTGTTATTTGTGTGTATTTATGTCTGTTTCCCAGAGCCCCCGCGCCACCTTTTTGCCCTCCACCTCCCCCTGCCCACCTTCTCCCCCCCCCCCTCCAGCTCCGCACGCGGCGCCGATGCGAGGGCAGGGGCTTCTTTCGTATCGCTGCCGCTGCCCGCACATCGGCTCCTCGGTGGTTCTGTTTTCTTTGGCCTGTGCTTAAGTCGGACCTGTCCCTCTACAGGGGTGATATTCCAAAATAGTAAATGATAGTATGGGGACGATGTTTTTCTATGTTTGCCCATTTGGGGGGCATCTTTTGAGTACTTTTTATGTTTCGCCCTAAATCCCCCTGTAGGGGACACGCCTGGCTTCAGCCTGTACCGGGGTTAGCTGCTCCTCCAAAGGCGTGTCATGCGAAGCGCGCGCTCCTCATCCTCCTCCTCGCCTGTTTCCTCCTCCTCCTCCTCGCCTTTCTCCTCCTCCTCCTCCTCGCCCTTCTTCTCGCCTTCCACGGGCGTGTGATGCGAAGCGCGCGTTTCTCCTCCTCGCCATTCTCTCGGCGACTACAGTCGATGCGGTTACGCCGGGGTGCGGTTTGCGAGTTGCTTTGTGGCGGCCTTTTCCGGGGCCTTTTGTGAGAGACAATGTCACAACTGTCGTCGTTTCGAGCGACGCTGTCATCCTCGATGTGTGCTCCACCGTACTGGAAGGAGCGACAGGGTCATGTGTGACAGTGTCATCCGTTTCCTGGGGGCGGGAGGGGCAGGTATGACGGGAGGCAAACCGCACCCTTCGCAAACCGCACCCATTGCAGCCGCCGACTCTTCTTCTCCAATATCGTGCCTGCCCCCGGTCGGCGGGGGGGGACTGCGTACTGCCTCCGTTCCCGAGGCGCCTGCGCGTGCTCTGCGGGCGAGCAATTCTTGAGTCGGGCGTACCCCTCGACAGGAGGAACGTTCATAAACTGTAAAGAAATAGTCTGGGGAGGTTTTTTTAGTATTATTGGACCTTTGGGGGGTATTGGTTTGACTATTTGCAATTTGTCGTCCAGAATCCACCTGTCGGGGGACAGGCTCGACTTAAGCCAAGGGAGGAACGACCACCCGGACGGGACAATCGGCGTTTTCTAAACGGCCTTGGGCGTTTGCTTTAAACGCCCTGCGCTGCTCGATCCCTTCTCTGGGTGCGGCCACGAAACGGCCTCACTCGTCGGGGTGGTTACTGTGGGGGTGGATGTGTTGCCCTCTATCGGATATTGGAAACCTATATCGGGGGCGGACAGAACCCCCAACAGTGACACGTCGATTAGTGAATTGTCCGTTTTCGGTTCTCGAGAGGGCGCCGTAGCCGTTATTTTCCAGGCTTGCGCCCGCCAGGTTTGGGCCTCAGGTCGTTTTCGCTAAACCACGTTTTACTAAAGGGGGGTCTGTCCATCCCCGACTATACGTTGCCAGTGGCGGGCTTTTTTTCATTCCCAGTACTTGACTTTTCCAGGGTCGGGGACGACGCTGGGGTGGTGTGGTGTGTACTTTGTTCCCCGATGTCCTGGGGAAACCACGAAACATGTATACACCAGGGGCCCGTATACACCAGGATCCGCGTTCCTGAGGGAATTTCAGCGCAGGGTCGGAAAACGCGTCGGTGTATAGAGCTCGTTTCCCTATATGGGGGTGGATGGGCTGCCCTCTGTTGAAGCAGTTCGCGTGGGCGGTTCGGTGGTGGCCCTGCCCGGAGGCCACGGTGCTGGGCATCGGGCTCGTGCCGTCCGCCAGGGTTGCGGGGGGCTGGCCCGCTCGCTCCTCGGCCTCCTCGGCCCTCCCCTTCCTCCTCCTCCTCCTCCTCCTACTCCTCCTCCTCTTCCTCCTCCTTCCTCCTCCTCCTTTTCCTCCTCCTCCCTCCTCGCTCCTCGGCCTCCTCGGCCCTCTCCGCCGCATGTTTACGTCGGGCGTGTCCTTACAGGAGGAACGGATTCAAGAATAGTCAACAAATAGCCAGGGGTCCATTTCTAAAAATCATGTTTGGCTATTTTGGAACAGTGTTTGACTGTTTTTCCCAACCATCCTGTGGTGTTGGGTCCTCGTTTTGAAGAGACAGCGCCCCGCGTTCCCACCTCCCGCTGCCCCCCTCCCCCCTCCCCCTCCTCCCTCCTCCTCCCTCTCCTCCCTCCTCCCTGCGTTTCACCCACCCATTACAGCGCTTCGTGGCTCCATAGGGAGCTCCAGCAAAGGCCCCAGTGGCAGGGTCCGCATGCAGTTCCACCTCCATTTCGGCGCACCTCTCACACGTTTCGTGGCCCCATAGGGTGCTCCGCCCAAGGCCCCAGTGACAGGGTCCGCATGCAGTTCCACCCCCATTTCGGCGCACCCCTCACACGTTTCGTGGCCCCATAGGGTGCTCCACCCAAGGCCCCAGTGGCAGGGTCCGCATGCAGTTCCACCCCCATTTCGGCGCACTCGTCACACGTTTCGTGGCCTCATAGGGTGCTCCACCCAAGGCCCCAGTGGCAGGGTCCGCATGCAGTTCCATCCCCATTTCGGCGCACCCTTCACACGTTTCGTGGCCCCATGGGGTGCTCCACCCAAGGCCCCAGTGGCAGGGTCCGCATGCAGTTCCACCCCCATTTCGGCGCACCCCTTCCACGTTTCGTGGCCCCATAGGGTGCTCCGCCGAAGGCCCCAGTGGCATGGTCCGCATGCAGTTCCACCCCCATTTCGGCGCACCCCTCACACGTTTCGTGGCCCCCAAAGGGTGCTCCGCCGAAGGCCCCAGTGGCGGGGTCCGCATGCAGTTCCACCTCAATTTTGGCACACCCCTCACACGTTTCGTGGTCCCATAGGGTGCTCCGCCGAAGGCCCCCTGTGGCAGGGTCCGCATGCAGTTCCACCTCCATTTCGGCGCACCCCTCACACGTTTCGTGGTCCCTATAGGGTGCTCCGCCCAAGGCCCCAGTGGCAGGGTCCGCATGCAGTTCCACCCCCATTTCGGCGCACCCCTCACACGTTTCGTGGCCCTATAGGGTGCTCCGCCGAGGGCCCCAGTGGTAGGGTCCGCATGCAGTTCCATCCCATTTTGGCGCACACCTCGAACGTTTCGTGGCCCCACAGGGTGCTCCGCCGAAGGCCCCAGTGGCAGGGCTCGCATGCAGTTCCACTCCCATTTCGGCGCACCCCTCACACGTTTCGTGGCACTATAAGGTGCTTCACCGAAGGCCCCCTGTGGCAGGGTCCGCATGCAGTTCCACCTCCATTTCGGCGCACCCCTCACACGTTTCGTGGTCCCTATAGGGTGCTCCGCCCAAGGCCCCCTTTGGCAGGGTCCGCATGCAGTTCCACCCCCATTTCGGCACACCTCTCACACGTTTCGCGGCCCCATAGGGTGCTCCACCCAAGGCCCCAGTGGCAGGGTCCGCATGCAGTTCCACCTCCATTTCGGCGCACACCTCACACGTTTCGTGGCCCCACAGGGTGCTCCGCCGAAAGCCCCAGTGGCAGGGTTCGCATGCAGTTCCACCCCCATTTCGGCGCCCCCCTCGCACGTTTCGTGGCCCTATAGGGTGCTCCGGCGAAGGCCCCAGTGGCAGGGTCCGCATGCAGTTCCACCTCCATTTCGGCGCACCCCTCGAACGTTTCGTGGCCCCATAGGGTGCTCGACCGAAGCCCCAGTGGCAGCGCCCGCATGCGGTTCCACCCCCATTTTGGCACCCCTCACACGTTTCGTGGCCCCATAGGGAGCTCCACCGAAGGCCAGTGGCTGCGTTCGCATCCGGTTCCACCCCCCCATTTCGGCACACCCCTCACACGTTTCGTGGCCCTATAGGGTGCTCCGCCGGAGGCCCCAGTGGCAGGGTCCGCATGCAGTTCCACCCCCCATTTCGGCGCACCCCTTGCACGTTCAGCGGCCCCATAGGGTGCTCCACCGACGGCTCTGGTGGCAACGTCCGCATGGCGACCCGTGCCAATTTTGGCACACCCGTCACACGCGTCGTGACCCCAGAGAGGTTCACCGAGGTCGATACCCACACCTGCGTCACTCACAACTGCACATGGTTGGGTCCCTCGCCAGGATAATTGTTTTTTCCGCCCAATATTCCACTGTAGGGGGACACGCCCGACCTAACCGTACGTCCTCTGATCCCCCTGCAGGGGGACACGTCCGACCTAATTAACCGTATGTCCTCTCTTCCTGTTCTTCCTGTTCTCCTGCTGTTTGGGTCTCTTGGGGTTGTCACTGATCCTTTGGCCTGTGCTGTTCAGGATCGCCCCGAGCGCCTGGTCATCAGAGCCAGAACATTCTGGCATGGGGCTGCCTTGAGGGAAAGCAAAGGAAGGGGAGGAGCAGCAGGAGGAGGAGGATCGAGGATCGAGGAAAAGGAGGAGAAGGAGGATCGAGGACAAGGAGGAGGAAGAGCAGAAAGAGGGGGATGTGGGCCACGAGGACGTCGGGGTTGAGGGCTGAGGCCGTCGCTCCGACAAGCCGATGGCGATCGGGCTTCGACGTCTTCATCCTCTGCCCCCGCCCCTTCCGCTGCCGTTGCTGATGCGGCAGCTGCTGCTGCTCCCTTCGCTCGAGGCAGCATCCTCCTCGTTTCTCTTAGGACGGGGAAGAACACACAGGCGGGGAATCCCGGAATGCGTCTATGTGTATAATGATGTGTGTGCGCGTGTCTTTGGGCCCCTTCATTTTAGCGCTTCGTCGTGCGAAGCAGCATGCGCGAGCGAATTTCATGCTGATGTGATGTTCGATTGCCGCGCGTGTCCCCAAACAGTCTCCACAAGTGTCACCGCGAGGGCGTTGTGGGCACATCTTACTCGGGGCGCCGCGGATCAGAAAAGAGGGAGACGAGGGAGCAGCCTCTCCGTGTCTTGTCATATCTTTGCCTCTCTCTCTCTCTCTCTTACTCTCCGCACCTGCAACGCTTCGTTCTTCCCGTCTAAAATATGCTCCTCATGTCTCGCATATCCGCCGCCAGTGTTATATGATTCTCTATCCGTCCATCCGTCTGCCTCTGAAGTCTGTCTGTCCGTCTGTCCAGTTGTCTGTCCGTGCGTCCGATGGTGAGCTTGACTCCTTGTCCGCGCGCTGGCCAGCTCGCCCCTCGCCTGTCCTGGCTGCGCGGGTCTTGCGAGGGCCCTAGCTTTGGCTCGAGCAGTTGCGGCCGATCCGATGGTGGCCGCAGGACTGAAGGCAGCACTGGCGTGCGCGCCCGGTCTGCATGTTTTCTGATTGTTTTTTTTGGTCGTCGGCGTAGTTGACCGCCGCGCCCAGCCGCAAGTTGGGCGAGGGCATGGCGGGCTCGAAGGACGAGCCGCCCGCGCCCGGGGGCCAGAAGAAGGCCAGGCGCAGCAGCGGGTCGAAGGCGGTGCCGAGGGCGATGCCGAACGCGCAAGCACAGGAGGGGGCTTCGAGCGGGCGCAAGCCGAGCAGCAAGACGGAGGAGGAGCACGGCCTGCTCCTGCAGGCAGTGCTGAACCATGTCGACTCCTTCAACATGTTCATCGACCATGGTCTGGAGAGGATTGTAGACGAGGTGCCGCCCATCGAGGTGGAGCCCCCAGAGGGTCCAAGCCTCGTTGTTCAGCTGACGGAGCTGCACCTCTGCCATCCGGTCAACACCGGCGCCCCTGCCGCATCGAATTGGACGCCGTCGATGTGCCGGCTCTCCCACACAACCTACGGTGGCCAGTTGAGGGCAAATTTCTCGATGCGAATAGGAGGTGAGCCTGGGACCACGACCACGGAGGCAGACTTGGGGTCCATTCCCGTCATGGTCCGGTCCAAAAGGTGCCATTTGCATGGCCTGAACGAGAAGCAGCTCGTCGCGCACGGAGAGGACCACACTGAGAGGGGCGGATATTTTATCCTCAACGGTCTCGAGAGGATCATCCGCCTTTTGATCATGCCTCGTGCGAACTACCCAATGGCCGTAAATCGCCCCTCCTACCAGAAGCGCGGCCCGTTGTACTCGGAGTTCGCCGTGCTGATGCGCTGCATGCGGCCGGACGGGTCCACGCAGACCAACTGCCTGCACTACTGCAGGGACGGATCCTGCACCCTGCGCTTCTCCTACAGGAGGCAGGAGTGGCTCGTCCCGCTGGTGCAGGTGGCGCAGTGCTTGCATGCCGTGTCCGACCTCGCGCTGCTCCAGATGCTGGCCGGCCCCGCGCCGAGCCAGGCCAGGGGCGAGCGACAGGCCGGCAAGCGGGACATGCGCGAGTGCGTGATATCCATGCTGCAGTCCTACGCCGCCTCCCGGGCGAGCTCTGCGTGCAGCGCACAGGCAGAGCTTGGCAAGACGTTCCGGGTGATCATGGGCAATGACATCCCCTCGAGGCTCACGGACGAGGAGGTGGGCGCCGAGATAGTGAAGCGGTTTCTCTTGGTACACACGTCGAGCTCTTCGCAGAAGCTCCAGACGCTGTGCGTCATGTACCAAAAGCTCATGGGCCTTGTCAACGGGGAGGTGCAACCAGATAACCAGGACACCATGAACAGCCACGACGTTCTGCTTCCTGGCCAGCTCTACGGTATGGTGTTGAAGGAGAACATGGAGGTGATGATGGATAGGTTGCGCGGTCTTTTGTACAAGCTACTGCGCAAAGATGAGGTGACCGGAAAGGCGAAACATTCCGTCGAGGATTTCAAGACGGACCCTGGATTGTTGGACGCCCAGATCAAAGCGTGCGCCGATCTTGACCGGAAGATGGGAAATTTCTTGGCGACTGGCAATATCAATTCACGGAATGGTTTGGACCTCATGCAGAAGTCTGGGTACACCGTGGTGGCCGACAAGCTGAACCACGCCCGGTACAGTTCGCATTTCGCCGCCATCCACCGTGGACAGTACTTCACAGAGATGAAAACGACCACAGTCCGCAAGCTGCTGCCAGAGACGTGGGGCTTCCTGTGCCCAGTGCACACCCCCGATGGCACGCCTTGCGGTCTGCTGAACCACATCGCGCACATGTGCAAGGCAGTCGTCAGCCCTGCCCCGCTGGAAGCCACGAGGGCCGTGGGCGCCGTGCTGGCTGGCCTCGGCATGGAGACTCCCGAGCCGTCCAGCAATCGGAGGCCCTCCGTGTACCCGCAGGGCCAGTTCTGCTGGGTCATGCTCGACGGCTGCCCCCTGGGCAAGATCGAGACCGCGAAGCTGAGCCTCGCCGAGGAGAGGCTTCGCACCCTGAAGGTCTCGGGATCCGGCGGCATCCCCAAGGACATCGAGATCGTGTGCATCTCGCGCGACTGGGGCCACCTGTTCCCGGGGCTCTTCCTCTTCCTCGGCCCCTGCCGCCTGACGAGGCCCGTGCGCTCTCTCAAGCACGGCGGGGCCGTCGAGTGGATCGGCCCCCTGGAGCAGCTGTTCCTGAGCATCTCCGTGCTCCCGGAGGAGCGCGATCAGGCAGAGCTCGCGCTGAGTGCCCCAAAGCAGCCGCGGGCGGCCGGCGATGAGGAGCCCGTGCCTGAGCAGCTGCCCGTGAAGTACTCCCACGAGGAGCTGCATCCCACCAGTGTGTTTTCCACCCTTGCCGGCTTCACGCCGTTCTCCAATCACAACCAGAGTCCACGCAACATGTACCAGTGCCAGATGCTCAAACAGACCATGGGGACGCCGTATCACAACCACGAGCGAAGGGTCGACAATAAGGTGTTCTACCTCCAGTCGCCGCAGCTTCCGATTGTATCGACGCAGATGTACCGAAATTGCCAAGCCGATTCCCATCCGAGTGGCACCAACGCAGTTGTCGCCGTTATCACATACACTGGATACGATATCGAAGACGCCATGATCATCAACAAGGCGTCGTACGAGCGTGGATTTGGGCATGGGTCGGTGTTCAAGAGCAAGGTGATTGACGCTGCAGACGCCAAAATGTCACCAGCACTCCAAAGGCTGTGCCGATTCAGGAATGTTAAGTGGGATGATCACGGCAACGTCGTCAAAAGATTTTGCGAGGAGTTGGACGACGATGGGCTTCCCCGGGTGGGAGTGCAGCTTTCCCGAGGAGATCCGATGTGTTGCATCATCAACCACGAGGGGCACGAGCACATACATAGGTATAAAGACGACGAGAAGGCTTACGTGGAGCACGTCAGTATTGTGAACGGCGAGGACATCGAGGGGGCGCCAAAGTGTCCGAGGCTGATTCTGCGGCTGCGGCTGCCGCGCAACCCAGTGGTGGGCGACAAGTTCTCCTCGCGCCACGGCCAGAAGGGGGTGATGAGCTTCTTGTGGCCTCAGGACTGGCCCTTCAACCTAAAATCCGGACGCTGCGTTGCCCTGGAACATGCGATATGCATGTCGTGCGGATTTGTCCCCAGGACGGTGTGGGGAGTGTGCGGGGGGAAAGGGAGGAGTGGAGGGCAGGGGAGGGCAGGGGAGGGGGAAGGGGGAGCAGGAACCAGGAGACGGCACTGGATTCAAAGGGGGCGAGCGAGGGAGGAAGGGCCCCCGCACGACCCTGCTCTGCTGTGGGCGTTCCCTTCCCCTTGGCACGGAGCGAGGGCCGAACCCCGACTGGCGTCAGGCGCGAGCGACCGTTGGCCGGGGGCCCTCCGCGGAGCGGCCCGGCGAGCGCCGATAGCGGGCGAGGCGAAGCCCTCGCCCGTCTGCAGGCGGCGCACGGAGGCGGGCTGCGCGTCCTCCGAGCTCGTGCGCAACACGGGCGGCAAGTCACGGGAGCCTGGGGTGCCCTCTTGATGCCGTCTTTGGCGTCGACTGGCGTCGATTGGCGTCGATGTAGCGTCGATGTAGCGTCGACTGGCGTCGATTGGAGTCGATTCGCAAGAGCCAACAAGATGGTGTGGCAGGCTCCCAGGAGTTGTCACCGAAGACGGAGCAACCTCCCCCTGCGGCCTCCGCGTCCCCGGAGAGTTGTCCGAAGGTGGCTCCACACGCGGGCTCGTGGCGTTGAGCCCCAGCGCCCCCCGAGCGGCATTCCCTGGGAGCCCCTGGACTTTGCGCTGCACCCTCCCGGCGCCCCGCCGGTGAGGAGCGCCAGGCTTGCTGCGGCCGCTGTCAAGCAGTGGCGAAGCGTCCTGGTTCGCCGATAGGCCTACCAAAGAATGCTCTATGAATCCTTTACGGTTTCCACGAAATGTTCTTAGAACATGTTTCTGGTTGGTAGTGTTTTGTTTTAACACATCGGGCTCATGTTCTAAGAGCACTGTTTTGTCCTTAGAACATTTTTGGGTTCTAAGAACATGTCGTGGTAGGCCTATAGAAATACCGGGACGGTCGGCCCCTGCTCAGCACTGGGGCCTGTCGGACGCGTAACCGCGCTTCGGGTCCTTGGGACCTGCTGGAGGCTGCGCCGCGTGTGGACATACGGCCGCGTGGGAAAATATACGTTCGCGGCGGCCTCCGGAGGCTTTTTTCGAAGCTTGCGCTCCCCCGCGCGCGAGACGCGCTTCCGGCAGCTTCTGGGGAAGCCAGCAGCCCCACGCGTGAAGCACGCGCGCGGTCGCCCATGGAGCACGCTCGAGGTTACAGTCAGCCCGCACAGGAAGGATGAGCGACTTTCCAACGTGGCCCTTGCACTCTTCCCCTTCGGCCGTGCCCCGCTCGCAGAGTGCCGACGTGGCCTTCCAAGGCCCCTGCAGCCTTGCCCTGCGTCCTTGATTATATGCGGGTTGGCTGTACAGGAGGGTCCGTTTGTCCTCGGTCGGCTGTCGCGGCGGGGCCCGCCCTCCAGTGCCGCGAGGCGCCGCCCATCGCGGAGCGAGGCCCCCGCCGATGCGGCGCATGGTGCTGTGAAGGCCGCGCGGCCGGTGCTCGCCGACCCTGAAGGACGACGACGACCACCACCACGAACACAACGACAACGACGAGCTGATGGCCCTGCCACATGCTCGGGACATGGGGCGGGCGGAGGAGGAGGAGGAGGAGGAGGAGGCGGCGGAGGGGGGAGGAGGAGGAGGAGGAGGAGGAGGAGGAGGAGGAGGAGGAGGAGGAGGAGGAGGAGGAGAGAGGAGGAGGGAGGAGGAGGAGGGAGGAGGAGGAGGAAAGGGGAGGGAGGGAGGAGGAGGAGGAGGAGGAGGGAGGAGGAGGAGGAGGGAGTGAGGGAGGGGGGGAGGAGGAGGACGAGGAGGGGGACGAGGAGGAGGAGGACCCCTTCGCAGGGGGCCGCGTGGGCGGCGGTGGGGTTGGAATCCAGGCGGCGGCGCGCACTTGAGGATCCCACCCCCAGCGATCTTGACGCACGCGCGACCTAGAGATAATCAGGTATCCCGCCCCCCCCTTGTCGCGGTTTCCCTCTCTTTCCCCCCTCCGGCTCGCCTCCTCCATCCCCCTCGGCTCCCCCCCCCCTTTCCTCCTGTCCCTTGCCGGCCCCTCTCCCCCCCTCGGCTCCCGTCTCTCTCCCCCCCCTCGGCTCTTTTTCCCTCTCCTGTCCCCTCGGCCTCCCTCCCCCTCCTAGCCGCTCCCCCTCCTCCCGCCCCGTGCCGCGCGCAGGTGTAAGTCGGGCCTGACCCTCTACAGGAGGAACATCGAGAAAAAGTAAGACAAAAACGAGTGGCACGTGTGCCATGGCTCTTGCACAGAAAGAAGGGGGAGGAGGAGGAGGTGGAGGAGGAGGGGGGAAGAGGGGGCAAGACATCGCCCCTCGGGGCCCAGCAACGGGGCCCAAATCCCAGGTGGGGAGGGGGGGGGAAGGTGGTGTGCGTCGCGACGCGGAATAAAGTGCTCGGAGCGGAGGGGGCACGGGGCGGAGGTCCCACTGGGGCGCTGGGGGCGCGGAGAGGAGGGGGGGGAGGTGGTGTGCGTCGCGACGCGGAATAAAATGGTCGGGGCGGAGGGGGCACTGGGCGGGGCTTGGGGCAGAGGGCCACGGGGCGGGGGTCCAACGGGGGCCCTGGGCTGGGAACGGAAGCGGGGAGGGGAAGAGGTGGTGTGCGTCACGACGCGGAATAAAATTGTCGGGGCGGAGGGGGCACGGGGCGGAGCCCCCACTGGGGCGCTGGGGACGCGGGGAGGGAGGTGGGGGAGGTGGTGTGCGTCGCGACGCGGAATAAAACGTTCGTGGCGGAGGGGGCAGTGGGCGGGGCTCCCGCTGGGGCGCTGGGGACGCGGGGGGGCTCGGGGCAGAGAGCCACGGCGCGGGGGTCCCACTCTGGCGCTGGGGACGCGGGGGGGGATGTGCGACGCGGAACAAGTGGCACGCGTGCACTGGCTCTTGCACAAAGGAGCTGCGAAGGACTGGGAAGCCTGGACGGAGGAAGGCCGAACGGAGGAAGGCTCCCAAGGGTGGATGGCTCATGGCTCAGGGGAGCTGGGGCTCAGGCTCAGGGGAAGGGGCCCAGGGGGGCGGGCGAACCACCACGAGCCACGAACCACTACGAAATTAAAGTGTTCCGCGGCCCAGGGGGGCTGCCCTGGGAAGCCTGGACGGAGGGGGGGTCCCAAGGGAGGGTGGCCCCACGATGAAAATAAAGGGTTCCGCGGCCCAGGAGGGGCTGCCCTGGTAAGGAGCCGGACGAAGGGGGGGTCCCAAGGGGGTGTGGCCCAGGGGAGCTGGGGCTCAGGCTCAGGGGAGGGGCCGAGGGGGCGAACCACGGAACCACGAACCACGACGAAAATAAGGATTTCCGCGGCCCAGGGGGGCTGTCCTGGGAAGCCTGGAAGGAGCAAGCCTCCGGTGGGTGGCCCAGGGGAGCTGGGACTCAGGCTCAGGGAGCCGAGGGGGGGGGGAACCACGCCGAACCACGAACCACGACGAAAACAAGGATGTCCGCGGCCCAGGGGGGGCCTGGACGGAGCAAGCCTCCGAAGGGTGGGTGGCCCAGGGGAGCTGGGGCTCAGGGGGGGGGGGAACCACGCCGAACCACGAACCACGACGAAAACAAGGATGTCCGCGGCCCAGGGGGGGCCTGGACGGAGCAAGCCTCCGAAGGGTGGGTGGCCCAGGGGAGCTGGGGCTCAGGCTCGGGGGAAGGGGCCGAGGGGGACGAACCACCACGAGCCACGAACCACGACGAAAATTAAGGGTTCCGCGGCCCAGGTGGGGCCTGGACGGAGCAAGCCTCCGAAGGGTGGGTGGCCCAGGGGAGCTGGGGCTCAGGCTCGGGGGAAGGGGCCGAGGGGGACGAACCACCACGAGCCACGAACCACGACGAAAATTAAGGGTTCCGCGGCCCAGGGGGGACTGCCCTGGGAAGGAGCCGGGCTCAGGCTCAGGGGGGGGGGGGGGCCGAGGGGGACGAACCACCACGAGCCACGAACCACGACGAAAATAAAGGGTTCCGCGGCCCAGGAGGGGCTGCCCTGGGAAGGAGCCGGACGGAGGGGGGGTCCCAAGGGGGTGTGGCCCAGGGGAGCTGGGGCTCAGGCTCAGGGGAGGGGCCGAGGGGGGCGAACCACGACGAACCACGAACCACGACGAAAATAAGGATTTCCGCGGCCCAGGAGGGGCTGCCCTGGGAAGCCTGGAAGGAGCAAGCCTCCGGTGGGTGGCCCAGGGGAGCTGGGACTCAGGCTCAGGGGAGGGGCCGACGGGGACGAACCACCACGAAGCACGAACCACGACGAAAATAAAGATGTCCGAGCTCTAGAGCACAGCTGTGCAAGATAATAAATCGTTCGTGGCGGATGGGGCAGTGGGCGGGGCTCCCGCTGGGGCGCTGGGACGCGGGGGGGCTCGGGGCAGAGAGCCACGGCGCGGGGGTCCCACTCTGGCGCTGGGGACGCGGGGGGAGGTGGGGGGGGCGACGCGGAATAAAGCGTTCGTGGCGGAGGGGGGGGCTCCCGCTGGGGCGCTGGGGACGCGGGGGGGCTCGGAGCAGAGAGCCACGGCGCGGGGGTCCTACTGGCGCTGGGGACGGGGGTGGTGTGCGACGCGGAATCAAATGGTCGGAGTTCTAGACACCCTGTGCAAGAGAAATATATATTGTTTGCACATGTTTGCATATTTGGGGGTACTTTTTATATTTTCCTCCAGGATCCGCCTGTAGGGGGGCACGCCCGACCTAAGCGTAGGTTCCAGGTGCAGCCTCGGCACAGCCCCGCCCTCTCTGGCGTGGGCGGCCCCCGCCCGCGCGCGTTTGCTCAGCCGCCGAGGCACTGCCCCCCGAGGCCGTGCGCGACGGTGCGCAGAGAGGGCGCTGCTCCCGCCTGCTGCGCTCACCTTCCTCCGACCCTGCGGGGCGCCGCCGTTTTCTCGCGCGCTCGTTCCTGGGCCTCCTGCCGCCCCCTCCTCCCCTCCTCCGCTCCCCTCGGCTCCTCCCCTCGGCTCCCCCCGGCCCCCTCCCCCTTCCCCCTCTCCTCGCCCCCCCCCTCTCCCCTCCTTCTCGGCTGCCCCCCTCCCCGTCTCCTGCCGCCCCTCTCTCCCCCCTCGGCTCCCCTGTCTCTCCGCCCCTCGGCTCGCCTCGGGGCCGTCACAACAAAAAACCGACTCGGGATGCAAAAGCCGGTTCCGCAGGGAATGGGTCGAGACCGCTGGGGGTCGACGATGTGAACAGATCATCATGACGTCGAGGTTCTGGGCCCACTGCGTCGTGGAGTTGCGGGCTCCCTCCCCCGGAAGCCAGGGGCGCAGTGGATGGGGACAAGCGTCTGGCCCCCCTCGAGGCTGGAGTGCTGTCCATGTCCCCTGCGCCTCGGCCTCCCGGCGACCCCCTTCCCCGAACGCCCAAGTCTTGCCCGCAGCCGCCCCTCAACGTTGCGCCGGCCCCCTGTGCACGGCAGCGCCTCGAGGAGGCCTGCGCCGTCTCGGCGCGTCGCCGCCCCTCGCCCTGACCTGCGGCCACGCCCCCGCCTCCTAGGGCTTCTCAGAAGCGCTGTGGCCTTGTGAAAAGTGTTCTGTGTCTCGGGGGGCAGGCTTGGAAAACTGCTCAGACGGCCAGGGACTCCCGAGCCTCATGAAAAAGGCAATCTCTTTCTCACTTCCCCCCCTCGCTCGCCGCCGAATTACGCAGCATTGCATCGAAACGGTTCCCAGGCGCCACCATGCCATGCAGGTGGTTTCCAGAACCCCCCGCGGGACCTCGGAGAGCCCTGGATGCACCCAGAGGCTCGTTGGGGCACGAGCATGGCCGAAGGCATACGCAAACTCGGTTTTCGATTCTCGCGATCGGTCCTCCTCCTCCTCCTCCTCCTCCTCCTCCTCCTCCTGCTCCTGCTCCTCCTCCTGCTCCTGCTCCTCCTCCTCTTCCTCCTCCTCCTCCTCCTCTTTCTCCTCCTCTCCGTAGCCATTTTGGTTCAAGAGCTCCTGGGACCCGCTCTCCTCATCTGGCCGCGTGCTCCCGCCGCGAGCGGGCTTCTTCGCCATGGCGCCTGCTGGATGCTGACGCACCTCTGCATCGCGTTCTTCTGCCACCTTGAAGTGGGACTTCATCAACCTGCTCGTTCTTCCTCCCCTCCGTGCGCGTGGGCTACACGCGGTATGACTGGTTGCCGCTCTTACGTAGAGGCGCTCGCCCCGCAGTGCACGCTCACAGCCAAGCAAGAACAACGACGCCTTCGTGACGCTCATTATCGTGCTGTCCACTCCGGCCCGGGTCGCCGCTTCGTGGAGTGCGCCGCCGAGGACCACACCGCGGTCAAGGCGATGGCTCGAGGCAAAGAGCTTCACCGCTGCCTGGACTGGAAGCGCGACGAGTTCGCGCTGACCACACCAAGCGCTACCACCCCGCAGCGCCCACGGTAACAACACCTTCGGCATGGGCAGACCTACATGACAATGATGACCTCGGAGGTGGTGTCCTTCCGCCCGACGCTCACCCTGACCCGCGTCCTGCAGCTGCACATGGAGGCGTTGTCTGCACAACGCTGACAAGAAGAACAACTCGCTTCCTGCGCTGCAAGAGTTCACGCTCACGCACGCCGCGCTGCACAGCGACAGCCTGCTCGCCACGATCGACGAGAAGGTCTCCACGCTCCAGCGCCCGCTCATTACAGTTATCGATGCGAAGGTACAGAATGCTGCCGACACGATTCGGGCCACCATGAATGCCAGTTCACAAGCCTCCACACCAACCTCGTGCAGTCCAAGGCTGTGATCACCGAGATGCTCGAGGAGTTTCTCAGGCACCAGCGCCCGCCGCCCCTCCGCGGCCCGACCTCGCTGCCCGACTACATGCGGACCGAGACCCGCGCCATGTTCGACCAAACGTGGCTGGAGGTCACGGCGTACGCCGACACGGATACGAAGCGGCCCCTCAGCGTTTTCAGGCTGCAGATCAACAACCTGCTTCCCGAGCTCAAGACCGAGCTCGACGAACGGGTGAAGCCCAGCGGGTGCGGCAACGACGAGCTGCAGCAGCAGGTTGGCAGCATCGAACAACACGTCCAACACCTCCAAGGTTCAAGGTCGAGAGCCGTCACGGGCTGACTTCGGCGGCAGTCTGGACTCCAAGCTTGACAGCTACCACGCTGCGCTCCTCACCAGCATCAGTAACGCCAGCTGCTGCGACGCCTTCTCGAAGCTGCTGGAAGCCTACGCCATGTCTCTGAAGCCTGCTCCGTACGAGTTTTCCTCGATCGAGGAGCTGACGGAGTGAACGAATACGAGCAGCACAGCGCCAGCTTCATCTACGCCTCCACGCACAAGTACTTCATCATGTGGTTCTTCCTCTGAGAGCCCAGCTTACAGGTAGATGGGCGAGGCCCGAGCACGCAGCGGTGGAGACTAACTCATTAGCCCTCTTCTCGCTTCGTGCTCGTGACCGCCTGCCCTATTCCTTTCTTCCGAGTGCCCAGACTCCTCCTTCTCCTCCCCTCCTCCTCCTCCTCCTCCTCCTCCTCCTCCTCCCCTCCTCCTCCTCCTCCTCCTCCGCCTCTCCTCCTCCTCCCCCTTCTCCCCCTCCTCCTCCTCCTCCTCCTTCCCTGCTCTCCCCCTCCTCCTCCCCTCCTCCTCCTCCTCCTCCTCCTTCCTCCTCCTCCTCCTCCTCCTCGTCCTCCTCCTCCTCTTCCTCCTCCTCCTCCTCCTCCTCCTCTTCTCCGCCTTCTCCTCCTCCTACCTCATCCCCTCCTCCTCCTCTTCCTCCTCCTCATCATCATCATCTTCCTGCTCCTCCTCCTCTTCCTCCTCCTCCTCCTCCTCCTCCTTCTCCTCTTCCTCCTCCTCCTCCTCCTCCTCCTCCCCTTCCTTTGCCCCCCTCCCCTCCCAGCTGCCCGCAGCTGGCGGATGCCCCCCCGGCCGACTCCCAGGAGGACGTGCCTTTCTCCGAGAGCGGCATCACCCCCGACATCTTGTTCAACCCACACGGCTTCCCGTCCCGCATGACCATCGGCACGATCCGCCATAGAACAGGAGGAGGAAGAGGAGGAGGAAGAGGAGGAGGAGGGGCAGGAGGAGGATGAATGGAGGAGGAGGAGGAGGAGAAGGAGGAGGAGGAGGAGGAGGAGGAGGAGGTGGAGGTGGAGGAGGAGGAGGCGGAGGAGGAGGAGGAAGGGCAGGAGGAGGACAGGGGAAGGATAATATTGCGACTTACTAGGAGGCTATTCTCCCGTGATCAGGAGGGGTGGACGGTTTTTGTTCCTGCGCTGGTTCCTGAAGGTCCCTGTTGCACACGGCACTATTGTGCGACTTGCGGGCTTCAGTCTGGCAGTGCGGACGGACAAGATTATATCATTCAAGATGCTATCGAGTATTTGGGAAGGTTCTTCCCAAACCCCGACAACCAAACCAAGAGATATAATGGAGAAGGCTCACCCCACGCAGCCATATCGAGAGGCAGACTCAGGAAGCCGCATTCTGGATACTGCACCAGGGAAGGCTCAGCCCCCGCTTTCCCGCGCAAGTCCACACCACGAGGCAGTCGGGGGATGGCTCACGCCGCCACAGCCACATCGGGAGGCAGCCTGGAGGAGGCTCCACCCCCACGCGGCTGCATCGGGAGGCGCGGCGCACCGGGAAATGCTCGCCCCTCGGCCATCCCAGACCCCCGACGTCGTCATGTTTTGCACGATGTCGACCCCCAGAGGTCTGGACTCCCTGAGATCCTGGCCTTGCATTTTTTTCACAATAGGCGTGTTCGCTCAACTTCGGGCCCTGGGACCCTCACAGATCGATCCGGCTCGAAAAATGACGCAGGAAGATGGGGTCCCGGGCTCCGGGCGTAATTTCTTGCGATGTCGCATTTTTTCGCAACGTCGGATCTCAGGGTCCTTCCCCAAGACCAGTTCTCGTCAACCTAAGTCGTGTGTTGGCGGCCCCGAGGGCCGCTGTAAGGGCCCCCAGAGGCCGAAAAGTAGGAGCATCCCCGCGTCATGATCCCAGACATGCGACATCCTGATTTTGTTCATGACGGCGTCCTCGGAAGTCCCGACCTTTTCCCTGGGACCGGTTTGCCACTCTGAGGCGGTTTTTGACGGCCCCGGGGCCCGGCGAGGGCCCCCGGGAGCTGAAAATAGAGAAAAACTGGCCGCCCCTATATCTTTTACGACGCGAGCATGTCTGGGATTTTGTCCTTGCTCGAGGGGGTCTGGGTATACCAAGCGCCGGACCGGGGGAGGGCCTACCCCCGCGCAGCCGCACCTCCGGGGCTCAAGAGACGGGGGTCAACGCAAACGGGGGTCAGCCGGAGCGCCCGATCTTGCAGGATCCTGCAGGGCCAGGGTCGGTCTGACCCGGGCTTGGGTGCAGGAACGTGCAGGATTCTCCGCATGGACCCAGGTTTGGGTGCAGGATCTTGCATGCAGGCTCCTGCAGAGCCTGACTGACCCGGGTCTGGATTGACCCGGGTCAGAAGACAGGCCAGCCACAACTGGGGGAACTGTGGTCCTTACCCCTGGGGAGGAGGAGGGAGGGAGGAGGAGGAGGAGGAGGAGGAGGAGGAGGAGGAGAGGAGGGAGGGAGGAGGGAGGAGGAGGAGGGAGGGGGGAGGAGGAGGGGGAGGAGGGAGGAGGAGGAGGGGGGAGGGAGGAGGAGGAGAGGAGGGAGGAGGGAGGAGGAGGAGGGAGGAGGGAGGAGGGAGGAGGAGGAGGAGGGAGGAGGGAGGAGGAGGAAGGGAGTGGGCGGAGGCGGAGGAGAGGGAGGAGAGGGAGGGAGGCCGCCGGCTGGCCGGCCCGCCGCTCCTCCACCGCCGAGGGCCTGCCCTCTGGCGGCGCGCGTCGTCAAGCAGTGGCGAAGCGTCCTGGCTCGCCCGCAGGCCCACCGAGGAATGCTCTAAGAGGACGTTCTGTGGTCTGCGCGAGGTGTCCTCGGAACATTTCTGGCTGGGAGTCGGTCTTGGCGTGACACACATCGGGCTGATGTGCTAAGAGCAGCTGCTTGGTTCGGGACACTGCTTGCCCGGCTCAGACCCAGACCCCCTCGGGCAGCGAAAAGAAATCACGGCGGGAGGTCTTCCCTGCTGTTCGGCCTCTGGAGGCCCCCGCCGGCCTTCGGGGCCGGCAACAAAAAAGACTCAGGATGGAAGGCCGACCCGGGGGAAGGGGCCGAGACCTGCGAGGGTCGACGCTATGAACAAGTCTTATGTCGGGCGTGTCCCTCTACAGGGGATCTTCGACGAAACATAAAAGATACCCCCCAAATATTCCAAAAACTTCAAACAATATTCAAAACATAGTCCCCAGACTGTTTTTGGATTACTTTTTTATTATTTTAGGGGTATTCTTTTTTTCGTCGAAAATCCCCCTGTAGGGGGACAGGCCCGACTTAAAACAAGTCATGACGTCGGGGCTCTGGGGAGGAGAAAGAGGTACCCCTACCCCTATACCTTTTTCCTCGGTGTCCCCTGTTGGGGCCTCCTCGGAGGCCCTCAGAGCGCACCCCGGGAGAAGCCCGGGGAGCAGCGGTAGCGGAACTTTTCGGTTTCCCCAGGACGACCGGCCTCCAGGACGACCGGAACTTTTTTGGTAGCGGAACTTTTTTGGTAGCGGAATTTTTTTGGTAGCGGAACCGCCGGCCTCCAGGACGACCGGCGGCAGCTGTGCACCCCGACCTCCAGGGTTTCTCCGAGGGGCTTAGGCGACCCGTCCTCCTCCTCCTCGTCCTCCTCCTCCTCCTCCTCCTTCTCCTCCTCCTCCTCCTCGTCCTCCTCCTCCTCCTCCTCCTTCTCCTCCTCCTCCTCCTCCTCCTCCTCCTCCTCCTCCTCCCCCTCCGGTCCTCAACCTCCTCCTCCTCCTCCGCGCCCTCCCCTCCTCGGGTCGCCTTCGGCCCGGGGGAAACCGTCCACCCCGACCCCCTCGAGTCATGGCAAAAATCACGGCGGGAGGGTGCTCGCTATTTTTTCAAGCTCTGGGCCTCGGGACCGTCAAGCAAGTCTTCAGCATGGAAGACGGGCCCCAGGGAAGGGTCGAGACCTCTGGGAGTCGGGGCTATGATTAAATCGGGCCTGTCCCTCTACAGGAGGAATATTCACAAATAGTCAAAAAATAGACTGGGGACGATTTTCTACTACTTCTTGTAATCATTTTGGTGCGTTTGTCTACATTATATTCGTCCAAAATCCGCCTGTAGGGGGACATGCCCGACCTAGAAACAATCATGACGCCGGGGGTCTGGGCACCGGGGTCCGGCAATCAGGGGACAGTCAAGACGCTGCAATAAGGGCCGCTTTTGCATTCGGCAGGGGCTCGCAGTTCCTCAGGTCGCTCCGCGGTTGATCCTATAGCCCTCCGCCCTCCTGCACCCAGGCTCTCTTGGACGGGGCTTCTTTCCTTATTCAGTGTCCCTTCTTCCTGCAGCTTGACTGTGCGGCAGGTTCGTGTCTTGTCGACGCGGCACCGCCGTGGGCGTTCAGGCTTGAACGCCGCCAGTGGCCGAGAATCGGCCAATATGAACTGGAACGAGCCGGCGATTGAAAAGCCGCCGATTGTTCAAGGCTGAGTGGTCCACGCGGTGTCAGAAATCAACGCCGCGGTCGTCACGACACGAGCCTGTCGTAGGCGTAGTGTTAAATGTTAAATCGTGCACGTCCCTCTACAGGAGGAATATTCGAGAAGGGTACACAAATAATGTGGGGACGATGCTTCTACTACTTCTGACAATTGTTCAAATGTGTTATGGCTTTCGATGTTTCTTCCAAAATCCACCTGTTGGAAGGCATGCCCGACCTAAGCGTAGTGTTCTGCCTCGACCCTCGTCCCTCTCTTCCCCTCCTCCTCCTCATCCTCATCAGCATCATCATCACCATCACCATCATCACCCTCATCCTCATCATCATCAGCAGCATCATCAGCAGCATCCCCCTTCTCCTCCTCCTCCTCCTCCTCCTTCTCCTCCTCCTCCTCCTCCTCTTCCTCCTCCCTCGATCCTCCCTCGACACTCCATCCACCCTGCAAAGGCATGCTCATCGAGAGCATCGCCGCCAAGGCCGCGGCCTGCGACGGGAAGGCGAAGGCGCCTCGGCGTTCATGGCAAGCAGGAGCGCAAGGATGGGAAGTCTAGGGGAACAGAAAACGAGGACCGTGACCTAGACTATCGAAGACGCCTACGGCGAATTACCGCCGCCTCTTGCACTCTGGAATCGCCCATGTGGCCGAGCGTTCTGGCAAGAGCTCTGCCAAGCTATCGGACCATGTGTCCCTGCAGCCGTTGTGGAAACCTTTCGTGGAACACTCGTGGGAGCCTCTGGGCGCACTCTTGGGGCCTCCTGAGAGCTTCCTGGGAGCCTCTTGGAGGCATCTTGGGGGCCTCCTTGGGCCTCTTTGGGGCCTTTGGGGGCTTCTCTGGTGTATCTGGCACTCTTAAGGCATTCCTGGCCCGTCTGACGCCGTCGGAAGCAGTCTTTGGGACCTCTCTGGGCCGACTTGGGGCCCTCTTGGAGTGTTCCAGGGCCGTCTTGGAGGCCTTCGTAGGCGTCTTGGAGGCCTCTTGGGAGCTCTTGGGGGCCTCTTGGGCTGTCATGGGGCCATCCTGGAGGCCTCCTGGGCGATCTTTGGGGGCTCTTGGGCCGCCTCGGGCCGTCGGTCGGCCGAAAAGAATCACACAAATCCGTCAAAACCTAAAGACATTCAATGATTGTGGCCTCTGCGGGCCTTCCTGGAGGCCCTCTTGGAGGCCTCTTGGGCAGTCTTGAGCCATCTTAGGGCCATCTTCGGCCGTCTTGGTGGGCTCCTGGCCCGTCTGACGCCGTCGGGAGCCGTTTTGGGGACCTCTGGGCCGACTTGGGGCCCTCTTGGAATGCTCCAGGGTCGTCTTGGAGGCTTCCTTGGGCGTCTCGGAGGCCTTTTGGGCCAGTTTGGATCCCTCTTGGGGCCATCTTGGGGGCCTCTTGGGCGATCTTGCGGCGATCTTTGCTGGGCCGTCTCGGGCCGTCGGAAGGGCGAACAGAAGCAAATGCCAGAACCCTTCAAAAACTACGGAACATCAGCGGATTCGGCCTCTGCGGGCCTTCTTGGAGACCTTCTTGGATGGGCCATCTTCGAGCCATTTTGGGCCGTCTTGGTGGGCTCCTGGCCCGTGTGATGTTGTCGGAAGCCGTCTCGGGGGCCTCTCTGAACCGACTTGGGGCGCTTCACGGTCGTCTTGAACGCCATCTTGGGCGTTTTGGATCTTTTGGGGGCCGTCTTGGGGGCCTCTTGGGCAGTCCTGAGTTTGGCATCGCTCGGACGTGTGCATTTTTCCTTCGGCGAGGACCATCGAGGAGCATCCTTGTTCCCTTGGCGAAGCCCACGCACGAAACCGAAAAAAAACAGGGAATGGACGTCCGAGCGATGGCCAGAGGAACATCTATGTGTTTGGCCTCTTCGGGCCCTCCTGGAGGACCTCTCCGAGGCCTCTTGGGCCGTCTTGGAGGCCACTTGGGCACCTCTTGGGCAGTCTTGGGCTGTCTTAGTGGCTTCTTGCGCGGAGTTGGAGGCATTTGGAGGCCATCTTGGACCATCTTAGGCGGACTCAAAGGCCATCTTGGCCGTCTTGGAGGCATCTTGGAGTCCATTCAAGTCCATCTTTGGCGTGGAAGGCATTGACGCATTTTCCGCGTGGCCGGCGGGACGGGCCGAAGCCCCAGAGGAGAGTTCTTTTGAAGAACGAACCAAACACCAAACCGAAAGGGTCCAGCACGCCGGGCACCTTTGTGACAAGCGCATGGGGCGGCGGGTCAAAGACGCCTACGGCGGATCACCGCCGCCCCCTGCCTTTTTGGAAGCGCCTGCGTGGCCGAAAGTTGGGTTTGAGCTCGGCCAAGCTATCGGGCCACGCGTTCCCCGAGTGGGTTTCGAAAGGCTGCGGGGAACACGGAGTCGGGCGAGATATCGGACCAGGTGGTTTCCAAGCTTTCGGGCCTCCTGGAGGACGTCTTGGGGGGCTCTTGGGCCGTCTTGGAGGCCTCTTGCGGGCCTTTTGGGCAGTCTGAGGCCATCTTGAGGCCATCTGTGGCCGTCTTGGGGCCATCGTCGCTGTCTTCGAGGCATTCTTGGCCGTCTTGGAGGCATCTTGGAGGCCATCTTGGCCGTCTTGGAGGCAATCTTCGGCGTCGTCGGGGCCATCCTGGGCCGTCTTGGGCTTTTTTGGGGCCCTCTTGGGGGCCTCTTGGGCTGTCATGGGGCCATCTTGGAGGCCTCTTGGGCGCTCTTGGGGCGATGTTGGGAGCTTCTTGGGCCGTCTTGTGCCGTCGGAGAGCTGACAAGAAGAAAATGCCAAAATCCTTAAACAACCTACGGAACATCACTGATGTTTGCCCTTTCGGGCCTTCCTGAAGGACCTCTTGGAGGCCTCTTGGGGGCCTACTGGCCAGTCTTAGGCCATCTTGGAGCCATCTTGGGCCGTCTTGGAGGCTTCTTGGACGACCTTGAAGGCATCTTGGACCCTCTCGGGCCGTCTTGGAAGCCCTCTTGGACCATCTTTGGCGACTTGGAGGCCATCGTGGGCCAGCGTGACCATCTTGAGGCGTCTTGGAGAAAGGTTTGCGGTCGTTGAGGTCGTTTCCGGGCCTTTCCGGAACTTTGACGGGATCGACCGAAGCCCCAGGGGGAGTTTTTTTTGGAAAAGAACCAAAACCGAAATCGAAAGGATCTAGCACGCCGGAAACACTTGTGCTGAATCAACAGGGGGCGGCGAATGACGGAAAGCGCGCGTAGCGTGCGATCCGTTAGTCGGAAGAAATGAAACTAGGGGGAGTTCGAGGGTGGTGGCATCCCGGACCCCAGGATCTAATAGCTTTGTTCTGTGTTAACGGAGCCCTTAACAAGGAACATTATTTGTTTTGCCTTGTGAACGGAGCCCTTAATAGGGAAAATCGGGTGCTTAACAAAGAAAAGCAGAGTTTCACGCTCGGGCACTTTTTTCCTTGTTAACGGAGCCCTTAACAGGTATTTAACAGGGAACATACATCGTGTGACAGACGCGTGTTTCACTGTTAACGGACCGTTTGCAGGGAAAGGAGTTCCTCGTTAACGGACCGTTAACGGACCCTGATCACCGCGGCTCCCAAGAGCGAGCAGTGACGTAAACAAGCTGATAAGACCAAGGCTCCCAACAGAGAGCGGTGACGTAACCTGTTCTTGACACCAGGGCCCGAAACGGGCGGCAACGTAAGTTCCGCGTAGGCTTCGCGTAAGCGCGTAAAGTCCTCGTCAACTTGAGGCACCTTCAAGACAGCCCATGAGAGACCAAGCGTCCCCCAAGACAGTCCAAAATGCCTCCAAGACGACCCAAGAGGCCAGAGGCCCGTAAGATCGCCCCAAGATGGCCCAAGATACCCCCAAAATGGCCCCAAGACGTGTTCGAACATCTGCACGTCTGCAGACGGCTTCAACGGCCTCCAAGACGGCGTAGAGAGGCCCAGACGGGCTCGAGGACGGCCCAAGAGCGATCCAGATAGCCCACAACGGCCTCAACACGGCTCAAGAGGTCTCCAAGACCCCCCCCCCGAGCACCGATGGGCGGTCTAAGCGGGAAAACAAACGAACGTAGGGCTTTTGCCGCCGGGGGGCGCCCTTGGCCCCGCCCTACCTGCATAAGCTCCTCGCTAGCATAAGGCACCTCCAAGACGGCATGAGAGAGCCCCAGACGGGACCGAAGACGGCCCAACAGCGATCCAAGATAGCCCAAGATGACCTCAGCACAGCCCAAGAGGCCTCCAAGGCACCCCAAGCGGCACCCGAGAGGACCCCCAGAAGTGCTGAAGGACGAAGAAACCATTGTTGCCTTTAGGTTTATGAAGGTTTTCCAGCTCCTCGCCTTTTTGGGCAAGAAAGGCCAGATACAGCTCCAGAGCCCCCCGAGATTGTGCCATGACGGCCCGAGAGGACCCCAAGAGAGCCTGAGGACTGCCCAGAAGGGCCCCAAGGGGGCCTAAGAGAGCCACAAAGACGGCCCAAGGAGGGCCTGGGAGACGCCCAAGATGCTCCCAAGAGACAGTATGTCGTCGTCATCATCATCATCATCATCAGCATCACCAGTATGATCCTAATCTTCATTCGTGTTTTATCCCGCTCTAGTGCCTTCCCAAGATACCAACACGCCCTGGTTCCCCCTCAAGAGGCCTCCTGCAGCTTCGAGATAGCCCGAGAGGGCGCCCAATATGCTACCAAGATGCCCCATGGGAGCCTCCAGACGGGGAGACTGAGAGAAAGAACCGGCAAGCCAGCGACATCTCGCGCTCTGAAAGTAGATGCGTTTTCCGTCCCCGTGCCAAGCAGGTCTAGTGTCTAGTGGCCTTCGGCCCATCCCGCCACCGTGCCTGGGTCGTAGGTCAGAAGCCTCCTAGATGCCTGTGGGGATCTCTTGGGAGACCTCCCGGATGCCTCTTGGAGGCTGTTTTGGGAGTGTCTTTGGGCGTCTTGGGGGCCTCTTGGGCCGGGCCTGATTTGGGCCTCTTGTGGACCTCGTGGGGCCTCTTGGTCGCACCTCGGGGGAAAGAAAGCGAGGACCACGACCAGGATTATGTTGTTCCCATTGCTCTTAAGGGTCACATCCCAGAAATGATTTTCGAGCACCCCGGGAAGTATCGAAACAGTGTTTGCCCGACACGCTGGCGAAGTGCCGAATGTCGCCTCCCAGGGGCCAACACGTGAACACCTCCTAGTTTCGATAGGTACTCGAAATTCGTTCTGGCAGTCAAGGCTAAACTAGTTTGGAACATCATAAGATCAGGACAGACTGCGGAAACGGGCGGTCAATCCTGGTCATCGTCCATTTTGGTCATCGTCACTTCACGAATCACCCTCGTGAATCGACGACGGCCAGAATATACCGTGACCAAGATCGACGTCGACAAGATCCCCCAACACCGGGGTCAAGCACAAGCTGAAGAATGGGGTGGCGCAGATTTGGCGACAGGGCTCCTCTCATCGATACCCCCACCCCCATGTCGCTGCGAAGGATCACGACTCGAGGTTTTTGGCTATATTCCGACTCCGGCAGGTCTGGCAAGGCCCCGGGACCGTAAAAAAAAA